AGCGGGTTCCGACGCCGGTGCTCTCCAGAAGTACCTCCAAAAGTCCATCGAACGTGCACACCTTCACCTCCGCGAAGCTCTCCCAAGCTTCTAAGGTGCCGTCGCGCCGCCCAGTAGATTCAGGCTCGTTTAAACTCCTGAACACCTCGAATCTCTCTGTAGCCCACAAGATGATGCCAGAGAGCTCTGACAAGTCAATACATCTACCTCCCCTGGAGCACCCGGAGGACGCGACACCAGCACAAGAAATGGATGTGCACTCTGGTAATGCATTGTCAAACGGCAACGGTGATGTCAAGAGGGATAAAGAAGGCGCGGGTGAGAGGCCGGCGCCGCGTCCGCGGGTTATCCTAAAGGTTACCATCACGAACATCTATGATGAGGCCCCGCCCTCGCTTTTACCCTCAGCCACTTCCTCAACAACAGGTGCACGTCGGTGTACCGCCGGTGCGATATTTGTGGCAAGTGTATCGCTCATTTTCAGGCCTCTGTATTGGCTATACCGTATTCTGAAGTGGATGTTGTGGGTATTCTTTTGGGGGGTGACGTGGACGCTGTTGTTTATGATACTGGCAGCCTTTTTTGACGTCTCCAAGTCTCGATATGATACCAACAGGGATGGATAAATGCAATCTATGCCAACAATCGCAGCGACGTGCACTTGAAATGTGACAGCATGATTGGAAACCTGAGAGTGTGCATGCACTGTATTATGCAAGTATGCTTGAGAATTGAAGACATACTAAGTCGTAAACAAACGGACTGATAGCACCTCCTTCTCCCCCTTAAGAAATACGCATACACTTTAGAGTATCAATCATCGATTTAAATACTTATTCGCATATGAGAATCACACATTTATTATTCACATGTGCTCCTTCGTTATCACTTGCTGTATTATTCTTTAGTTTTTTGAAATGGCATACTTCTAAGAGCAACACTGACGCACCCACGCGTTTTGGGGTCTCTTTCAGTAATTCCGAAATAGGTGCAATAGCGTACCGATTCTCCATGCAAAAATGACTTTGAATATTTCGTTTGAATCCGCATTAATACTTTTGTTGCATTTTTTGTGTGCGTCTATGGAGTAAACACTCGGATGAATGAGATGCAATACATCAACAAGCGCTGGCTGACAAGAGCAGCAACCTGTTTTATCACATCTTGCTGGATGATTTGTTCCGTTTGTGTTTGTATTGTGCTGGTTCACAATTCAATTTAATCTTTTATGGGTAAAAATTACGGTATTATGAAAGCACTGCTTATGTGATGGTGGGAGGGCTTGTGGAAAAATAGTGTATGAGGGGATCACAGCTATGTTTGGCAACGACTCACCGCCTACCAAGCGGTGGAGGATGGGACCAGACACGTTAGAAATGTTGCTTTCAAAGAATGTTCACTACCAACTACTATGGTAGGACCCCTCTGCTAATGCTGCTCCTCAAGGCCTTTTGGGTGAATGTGCTGAAAATGTAATTCCTATCGACCTTTTAGAAGGTTGCGTTATTGTTATAATGATCACTTTCCCTTCTTATTGTTTGCTATACTACTAAACTTTTGAATTGGTCCATATTCTGTACTTCGTTTATAGATCTTCATATATAGGATTGCTTTCACACACACATCATATGAATATATATATATATATGTGTGTGTGTATACATCACCTTTCCGTGTAAAAGGTAAAGAACTATCTATAAAAGCAAATCGAATACCTTTTTAATTGTTATAAGAAGTAAAATCATACGAATCATTATGCCGCTCATTGCGCTGGCTCCACGACTGGCTAGGGAAGGTTCCATCAGTTCAACATGCACAGGTCAAATTGATTTGTCTGAGAAAGCCCCCAAGTCTCCATGTGTCGCCACACCAATATCGAGTTGCCCTGTTTCTCATGTTCCTTCTACTTTGAAGATAATAAACGCTCCCGTCTTATTGAAAAAAAGCATCGGGAGGGAAGGTGAGACCACTGCCAAACGTTATACCATCAAGCTAAAGCCAGCGGGCAATATGGGGTCACGGTATTGTTGCTAATTTGTCTAGGAGGAAGACGGAGTGTAGAGGAAGCTACAGCAAGAGTTTCATCCGATCGTCTCTGCTTCTGCGCGTGCAACTTCAGTGAAAGATGACCTCGTACAATCAGAAGCCAAACCTAACCGCAAATCGGAGGGGTTGGATGCCGGGGAAAGGTGATCCTGCGCCGCTAAGGCGCTGCAATGGAGTGCCGAGGACGGGTTACGCCGTCCGAGAAGCAAACCCAAGCTGCGATTGGTACCTCTTCACACCTTCGACGTCATACCGCGTGAAGGGGCTCTGAGGTAGCCATCTGGTCTGGCAGACGCCGCCACCCCCACAGTGCTCCAAGCAAGCGCCGAGCCATGCCCTGCGTGACGAAGGTACGAGAACTTTAGAACGTCGCATTCCCGTTGAGGCTACGGAGAGGGAGGAGGAATCGCACTAAGAGGGGGACAACCCCAACGAAGAGTGCATCCCCCGAAAAAAATCAGGCGATGGCGCTCGAACTCACAGCCACAGCGTGGAATCGAGCAGCGGAACTGCGAGGTATGTGGAGTGTGGAGCTACCTCCGCGATCGTTAGCGATACAGCGAGTAAGGCAGGCAACGAGCACTTTCATCGTCAAAACAAGGCGCTGCAACGGAAGCTGAGCGATGCCGCTTCCCGGCATGACGTCGTTATCGCCCAAACATAACACTCTCAAGAAAATTCCATAGAGTTAACAACAACAATGTGTGAAGCGGTGCGTTGATACCAGGAGGTCGGCGCGGCGCCGCAGGCCGAGCATCGATCCCTCGATCAGTCCCTCAGCGATGCTGAAAGCGCGGCGGGTGAAGTTATTACGTGCAAACGCTACACTGCAGATGTGATATTGTGGTTCCTCTCCGCGGGATCTTTAGTGGGATCGGTTTTATTGTCTATCCATGAATAGTATAGATTGGTTACGATTCTTTTTTTGCCATTTTCAGTTGTGTATAAACACATTTCGTTTCTTCTTTGATGGGGTTCATCTGGAACCTATTTTTTCCACCATTGCGTATTGTCTTGAGATTCCTCAATATTCCACTCGAGGGAAATCCGAAAGTACAACAATGACAGGGTGGATTTTCACCATTATGGAGGACTGTGGCAACCTAAAAGGGATTCCCTGTGTGTTTTTTGAAGGGATAACCATCACGTCTGAATGCATGGCTGAGAGTAAAACACTCTTTTTCTCTCCTTATCTCTATGTATTAAATGATTGATTGAAATTGCACAAAAAGTGATATCATATTCTTAATATATTTCGCTTAAGACTATTTTTCAGCCATCTGACAAGTTTTCGTATTCTTTATTTTTAAGCTCTTCTTCTTGCTCGCTCCGTGAGAAAAAAACACAAAATCCAAAGCTTTGTGCGTTTGTGTGTGTGTGTGTGTGTGTGTGTGTGTGTGTCGTAC